CACACACACACACACACACACACACACACACACACACACACACACACTGTAGCCCAGGCTGGCGCCTTGAGCTCATGGAGACTACCCTGTCTCTGCCTCTGGAGTGTATACCCACCACACATAGCCTCATGCGGTGTTCTCAGTGCGTTCTCCTGTAGACTGACTGTGATCTAGCCCACAAGATTACGTGTGGCGTTTTTCACTCTGGCATCATGGTGGCATTCAAAAAGCTTCTTATTTTGAACCCATATAGACAAATTCCTGAGAGCCTTTTTCATTTTTTAAATTATACATAATATCTCTACATAGTCCAGGCTAGCCTGAAGCTTTCTGTCTCAGGTTTCATGGGTTATAGAGGCATGTCCCGCTGTGCCCAACTTAGACCTTTTTTCATTTTTTGGGGGGGGGCTTTGTATTAATATAGTGTCTACTTTTCACAGTAGCACCATTTCTTTTTTCTTTTTTCTTTTTTTTTTTTTTTTGGTTTTTCGAGTCAGGCTGTCCTGGAACTTACTCTGAACCAAGCGCTGGCCTCGAACTCAGAAATCCTCCTGCCTCTACCTCCCAAGTGCTGGGATTAAAGGCATGCACCACCACCGCCCGGCTAGTAGCACCATTTCTTATGGAAGAAATGTTTTATAGATGTGCTGCTTTCAACTTTACATTGCTGTTGGCTTTTGACCACTGAGGTCATGGTAAGCATTTGTGATGGCTGAATCTTCGGAACTTGATCAGGTTCATAATGGAATTGAACCTAGTGGGGGGCTGGAGAGACGCTCAGCAGTCAAGAGCACTTGTTGCTCCACAGGGGACCCAGGTTCATTTCCCAACACCCACATGGCTGCTCACAACCATCCCTAACTCCAGTTCCATGGAATCTGACCCCCTCTTCTGAACACCAAGACACAAGGTACATGTGGTGCACAGACACACACACAAAACAAACAAAAACTGGTTATCACATAGATATGTAAGTTAGTAGGAGGACTCAGTAATCAGTGCTGTCATCTAGTCACAGCTCAGTTCTGGGCTGGAGGCATGGCTAACCGCACCTTGCAGAGGACCTGGGTTCAGTCCTCATCCCACACGGCAGCTCACAATCATTTAACTCCAGCTCCGAGGACACCAAGCACACACGTGGTGCACATACATACATACATACATACATACATACATACAGGTAAAGCACTCATACACACAGAGAGAACATGGTCTGTATGGAATGTTGCAGGTGCCTTCCTCCCTCCTTAAGAAATTGTAAGCAACAGTCCACCTTAGGGTTTTTCTTGCTGTAATAAAGACTATGACAAAGACAATTTATGGGAGGGGTTTATTTTATCTTACAATTCCCATGTCGAATCCATCCCAGAGGGCAGTCAGGGCAGGACCTCAAGGCAGAACCTGGAGGGCGTAACTGAGTCAGCGAACATAGAGGGTGAGGGGTGCCCACTAGCCTGTGCCCTGTGGCTTGCATTCCTATCCTACCCAGGGCCATCGCTGACACAGCTGGCCGTCCCCACAGGCCTGCGCACAGTCAGTGTTGTGGAGGATTTTCCCCCTCTCAGATAACTCTAGCTGTGTCAAGTTGACAAAAAATTCCAACCAGAACCAAAGCTAAATAATCTTTCAGAGTCATCCTAAATAGTTCAGTATAGATCTTGTAAATCAAATCCTATAACCCATACACTCCAAAAAAAAAAAAGGATCTATATTACTTTATTATTGAAGGATTTTGTGCCAGTGTCTATAATAAGCTTTTATTTGCTATGTCTAATGAGAGGTTTGATGTACTGCTTGTGACAGAGGAGGAGCTGCAAGTCAGCTTGGAAAGGAATTCAGGGAACAAGGTATTTATCAGAAAACATTCTGTAGCAGAACTGCCCTCTGAGTAGCTCTGCACACAGTATTTAGGGCACCTCTTATCATTCAGCTAAACACTTACAAAAGGTGGCATGTCAGTCTCTGCTGTAATCAGCTGTTAGCACATCTAAATCATTAGGGGTTCTAAAGATCTGGTAAGTTGATGAAGCATAGAACATGCCTCCTCCAAGAATCAGTGCTGACAGAAATGGGATCTGAGGGGACCATTAATATTCTATTCTATCTACACACGATGGTCATCTGGCTGGGACTCTGTATGGGACAGTAGATTAATTGGGCAACTCTTGTTTTGAGATGCCTGCACCTGGAGGGTCCCCAAGATCTACTCATGGCTACAGCAGGAAGGACAGCTCTCTGAAGAAGAAATGGCCCGGACATTCAACTGTGGGGTTGGAGCTGCCCTGGTGGTGTCAAGGGACCAGACAGAGCAGGTTCTACAAGACATTCAGCAGCACCACGAAGACGCCTGGGTGATAGGCAGTGTCGTCGCGTGTCCTGAAGGTGACAGCTCCTTCTTGGCTTTTAGGTTTATAATCTTGAATATAACTCAGCTCTCTGCCTGTCGAGCTCTATACCCTTTCTTCCAGCCACTGCCATGGCATCTGTCTTTACCCAGATGCATTATGGGTCGTCTACTCTGGTGCCAGAACACAAGTGTTTCTTCCACTGTGGAACTTTGACATCTCTGGGTAGTATTCACACGCACTCCCACACCGCACAGGATTCTTTTCCAGGATGAAGTCACTACACAGAACACATCATGGTTCTGCCTAGAGGTTTAGCTCAACCCAAGCATTAGTGAGTGAGCACCCTAACCAGTTTTCTGTATTGGTCAGAACTCATCAGAATTTGACAGGGTGGCAGACAGAGCCATTCATATAGCTAACAATGATGTCGGCACACCTTGCTTCTGTCTGTCTACTCTATGCTGTGTAGGTTTTCCTTACAGGCACGTTCTCCCAGGGCTGCACAGTTACATCCTTCAGCTTACACTGTAGTAAGAAGTCCTCCCTTTCTCAAAACAGCATCCTATGTCAGTCTTGATGGCCTTGCTGGGTCACAAGCCTCCCACAGAGCCAGGCTTGTGTAGCACTATGTGAGTGACTCATCGGGAAGGTTGACAGGTTGTGGAGAACACGGGCAGGAATTATTTTATGTAGCTGTGCTTTAGAGTGCTGATGCATTCTACATACAGTGGCTCCTAGCTGAGGTAGTAATTACATATGTTCACCTTCAGTGTGTTTTTAAAAGTGAGAAGTGGTATATGTTATTAACCTGGTATTTTAGTTCCTGTATATTTTACTTTCAGCATAAAATACAATCTAAAGTGTTCTTTTGATGTTTCTCTATTATTCCTATTAATTCATAGTTGTTCTTATTCATGCATACAATTGAAATGAAGACTCCCCTCGTGTCAGAGTTAAGAATCTGATTGAAACCATACAAACAAATGGGTCAGTGATGGCAAATGGCTTCCTGAGAAGTAATTTCCCTGTCCAACAAAAGAAGGCAAGAGTGGCTGTCCTAATATCTGGAACAGGTAAAGCATGGCTTCGCCTCACCATCGCTCACACAGATGGGCTGGGGAGGAACTTGGATAATAAACAAGCTCTAGAAGAACCTGGGATCAAAATAGGGGATGTGGGCCGGGCGGTGGTGGCGCACGCCTTTAATCCCAGCACTTGGGAGGCAGAGGCAGGCGGATTTCTGAGTTCGAGAGTTCGAGGCTAGCCTGGTCTACAGAGTGAGTTCCAGGACAGCCAGGGCTACACAGAGAAACCCTGTCTCGAAAAACCAAAAAAAAAAAAAATAGGGGATGTGGGACAAATGGCTAAGAGAAAGTAAAATAGAAAGGACAGCCTGGTGGTGCAGCCTTCAATCTTAGCACTTGGGAAGCAGAGGCAGGCAGATTGCTGAGTTCAATGCCAGCCTAGTCTACATTGTGAGTTCCAGGCCAAACAGGACTACACAATGAGACCCTGCCTCCAAACTGCAGTTGAGGACACTTGCTGCTCTTGCAGAGGACCTAGCTTTTATTTCCAGCACCCACACAGTGATTCACAACTATCCCTAACTCCAGGGCATCTAATGCCCTCCTCTGAAGTCTGGGCAGCAGGAAAACGTGGTGCATATACATTCATGCAGGCAAACCACTCCCGTACATAAAATAAACATAACAAAAACGAAAGGACAAGGATCCCACCTCTTTTGTGTCTCGATAGGTAGAAACGCTTAAAAACTGAAGTAATAATTATATGTGTTCACCTTCAGTATGTCCTTAAGTGTGAGAAATGACAAATGTTATTAACCTGGTATTTTTGCCCTTATATGTCTTACTTTGAGAATAAAATATAATATTCTAAAATTGTCTTTTATTAAAAGTAAGACCTGGGTAGGAGAACAGTTTGTTCTGTTGGCTACTGTGGCGACTTTGCTGTTTGCTTTCAGAATCACCATGTAATCCAGGCTGGCCTCAGCCTTCCTAGTGCGGGGATTTAGTGGGGGGACACCACACCCAGCTGGTTTTTCCCACAAGCAGCACTGCCCTGAACAGGGTGTTGTCAGAGGCACCTGAGCATGTCTTTAGACAATGGACCCGTGCCCTGTCTGTCTGCCCTGCTGAGTGCTCTTACAGTTTGAATATATTTTAGGCCCAAGGTTATGATAAAGCAAAGAGGCCGCTGTGAGGAGCAAGGGTGTCTGTCGTGAGGAGGACGAGCTCTCAGGAGTGTCGGCTCACTTGCTTTTCTGCTTTTTCAGGGTCAAACCTCCAGGCGCTCATCGACAGCACTCGGGATCCCAAAAGCTCCTCACACATTGTTCTTGTCATCTCCAACAAAGCTGCTGTAGCTGGCTTAGACCGAGCAGAGCGAGCCGGTATTCCCACCAGGGTGAGTGACAGCAGAAAAGGTCTTCCTGCAGGCTGCGCCTGGCAGACCAGTGCTTTGCTTGCTTAGTGACAGACACTCAGCCTGGAGGCTCAGATGTAACACTGTGCCCACACCTCCAACTCCTGCGGGCTGTACTTGGCCTCTGCTCTCACGAAGTTGCAAATGGTTGTGTAATCGTGGAACTTCCCAATTCAGGGTGGGTGCTGGTTTGCTTTTCTACTGCATCCTGCCTGTTCCTCAGCCATCCTCTTGTGGATACAGCTGATGTGTAGTCTCTGCGAGGTTGTGTTTAAATTATGGTTAATCCACTGAAATAGACTATTTACTTTTCCCTGTTACAGGTAATTAATCATAAATTATATAAAAATCGTGTTGAATTTGACAACGCAGTTGACTGCGTCCTGGAAGAGTTTTCCATAGACATCGTCTGTCTCGCTGGATTCATGAGGATTCTCTCTGGCCCCTTTGTCAGAAAATGGGATGGTAAGCAAACGTTCCCACACTCAAGGGTGTTAACATGGGGTAACTAGTTCCGTTGGCTTTGATAGAAAATGCCCAGGTCACTCAGCTGTTGGACTGGCTGTCACTAATCACTGTCTCCATTACTGCAAAGACACACTTTACTGTCAGTAGAATCGGGAAGTCAACAAAAAGTGAGGCTCAGTCCACACCTGTAACCCCAACGTCCTGTAGCTGAGGCAGGAGGCCAGCATGATTATATAGGACATACTCTCTCAAAAGGAGAAAAAAATGAGGAGGAAGATCCCAAGATGAAGAGAGAGCTGGGCAGAGATCAGCCTTGATCTTTTGTAATCAGTTTAAGGCCAAGACCCTGTCTCAAAATCCAAGAGCTAGCAGCTGGAGGGATTCTGTGGTTGAGAGCACGTGTTGCTCTTGCAGAGGAACTGAGTTCAGTTCCCAGCACCATCCACAGACAGCTCACAACCATCTATAACTCCATTTCCAGGAGACCCAACACCTTCTTCTGGTCTCTTCAGGCCCCAGGCACAATTTTGGTGCACAGGCATACATGCAAACAAAACACTCGTAATAAAATATTAGAGAACAGCAATAGCTGGGGGGTTAGATCTGTGATAGAGCCCTTACCTGCCTAGCATGTGTCAGGCCCTGGTGCCACAAAAAGAAATGAGGCCCATGCTCTCCTGTATAACATGCAGAAGATGACAAGGAAGGTGGTGTTGCTAAAAATGCACAGTATCTACAGTCGCTTGTTTCCTTTTCCCTTGCACTTTATGTACTTCATGAGCATGGAGCAGGGGTCACCTCAGCATGCTGTGGTAGTAAGAGGACACTTTGTGGGATTAGGTGCCTCATTCCACTGCGTGTGCCCTGGGGATTGCACGCAGATCATCAGGCATGGTGGTGGGGGCCCTGTACCCCTGTCAGCCATCTTGCCAGCCCTGTTCTCTTCCTAAGACCTCTGACTGCAGCCTATTGTGGTCATTGGTCTGCACATAGACATAGTGGGCACCTTCCCTCCAGAGTTTATTTCCTAAGGTAAATGTAGTTATCATTTGTTCCTTTAGCAGAGTAAACAGATCCAAGATTTCTGACTGCTGCTTTTTTGTTTTTTAGGGAAAATGCTCAACATCCACCCATCATTGCTCCCTTCTTTTAAGGGTTCGAACGCTCATGAGCAAGTCCTGGAAGCTGGAGTCACAATTACTGGGTGTACTGTACACTTTGTGGCTGTGAGTATATCTATTCCTACCTAATGTCTGGATGCAGTCTACACTGGCTAGAAAGCAAGGTTGGAAACATTTGCTTCCTTTTCCAGGAAGATGTAGATGCCGGACAAATCATCCTGCAGGAAGCTGTCCCTGTGCAGAGGGGTGACACTGTTGCTACGCTCTCTGAACGAGTCAAAGTAGCAGAACATAAGATCTTTCCTGCAGCCCTCCAGCTGGTGGCCAGTGGAGCTGTGCAGCTGGGAGAAGATGGCAAGATCCACTGGGCCAAAGAACCATGACTCGTCCTGATGAAGGAGTGCACCCAGTGCTAAGAGAGAGAAGCAGGGCTTCACTAGGTGCCTTTTCATCGTGGCCATGGCCAAACTGAAATACCTGCTCGCAAAAAGACTTTAATCCTAACCCACTGTCATTTTTTAATAAATAGGTTCATTAAAAACAAAACTTAGCATTTTTTAAAGACATCCAGAAGTAGGAAGGCCTAGGCTGCCAGCATACTGGGCACATAGGAACCCAGGCAAGATCTCCACACTTACTGGTTACCATGCTTTTCTGCTCCCAGAGACTGCTCCCACACTCAGCCCAAAGCCAGCCAGCCACCCTTGAACTGCTGAGCAGCTGATGTGGTATGACAAGAGTCCAGCCGGCACAACTGGATTCCTCACCTACAGGGACCTAGAGACCATGTTGAAACCTCTCAAGCTTTAAATTCAAAACAACAGCAGATCCTTAAACTGTAGCCTTAAAAGAGGAAGATAAGAAATCCAGGATATAGCCGGGCGGTGGTGGTGCACGCCTTTAATCCCAGCACTTGGGAGGCAGAGGCAGGCGGATTTCTGAGTTCGAGGCTAGCCTGGTCTACAGAGTGAGTTTCAGGACAGCCAGAACTACAATGAGAAACCCTGTCTCGAAAAACCAAAAAAAAAAAAGAAAAGAAAAGAAAAAGAAATCCAGGATATGGTAAAGCAGGCCTTTAATCCCAGCACACAGGAGGCAGGCAGATCTCTGTAAGTTCAAGGCCAGCTTGGTCTACAGATAAGAGTTCCAGGACAGCCAGGGCTACACAGAGAAACCCTATCTCAAGAGAGAGAAAAAAAGAAGTATAATGTGGAGGAGGGAAAGCGGCCCAGCACCAACAGCAGCAGAGACCTGCTGTGCCGATGGACACTGACTGCTGCCTCGGAGGAGGCAGGTGGGGTTGCCAGGCCTGTGCCACTCACCATCGCAGCTTTTCCCTTTGTCTAGTAAGTAACCACCGGCAGATGGGTCTGCTTGTCTAAAACAGTAGACTAGGTCTGCAGTCATCAGCAGTTAGGCTGCTGCCCTGTACAGTCGAGGGGACAGTTGGCAGACGGGAAGGAAATTCTACAGGTTAGTGAAACCACATATATAGAAACCGGCTACTAGAAGTCAGTGTGAACCTATAATCTGGAGGTTAGAATGTTCGGTTTGGTCTTCAGTACTGCAAGATTAACAACGGAGTACATTAATGTTCTGACTCTTTATTTCAAGCTAATCTTACTCCTCTCTTCCCTCCCCCCACTTTTTTTTAAGTACTAGCCTTCTCGTGCAGTAGCTGATACCATGTCTCCAGAGAAGAATCCATGCGTCTGGAATGTCTGGTGGCCGGAAACCATAATACACCTTAGACTAGCGGAGGTGATAATAGAAGGGGGAGTCAGAAGAGCATGCTGCCATACCCCTTCCCAGGGAAAGAGGAAACAATGCCTTTCCCCTGGGTCCCAAACCCAGGCTACATTCTGCCAAAGCTCACACTGGGGAAACAGTGGATGCATCACTGAACTTCTTACAGAACACAGGTGTGCATGCTCCTCCTCCAACCTTCAGGCTTGAAGGTTGTTCCTATAACTGCATAGACAGAGCCTCCTGCATTGCCTACCCTGACCTATATACCCAAGCCCCTCCCTCAGCCGCTGGCAGTTAAGGCAGATTTGCATAAAACAGGTGGGAGCAATGGACACAGGTGAAGGTTGTGCAGAATCAGCAAGCCCAGATGATGGGTTAACCCTTTCCAGGTAGCACTGCCAAACTCCCACAACAGCGGTTGCTTGGCTCCCTTTGGTGGTCACAACAGAATACTATTTAGACACATTGAATATGAGTGGCTATTGAAAGATGCTATATTAAGTTGGCCTTCAAATACTACATTGTCATTAGAAGAAGTCATCAAGTGCTCTGGAACTGAGTTACAGACAGTTGTGGGCCATCATGTGGGTTCTGGGATTAGAAGAGCAGCCAATGCTTTTAACTGCCAAGCCACCTCTCCGGCCGCCACATTTACTATTCACTAGTATCTGACTTTACAAAGGAGTATCTCATTTAAGGTACATAGACGGTGACATCAATAGGGTTCCCAACCCACGTATGAAAATTCCTAAGTCATCGCTTTTGTCTTCAAAACAATCAAGGGGGAACTTGAGAAGTGAATAAGCCCATAGAGCCTTCTGGGAAGCCCAGGTTCAGTCCTCAGGACTCACGGCTCACAACTGCCTCTAACCCTATCTGATACAAAGGCATGCATGCAGCCAAAACGCCCATACACATAAAGTATAAATAAATAAAAAGGACTGGAGAGTTGCCTCAGTGGTTCGGAGCGCTGGGTTCGATTCCCAACACCCACATGGAACCTCACAACTGTCTGTAACTCCAGAACACTCTAATCCCCATGAGAATGGCACATACGTGGTCCAAAGACATACATGCAGGCAAATCATCCATACACATAAAGCATACACAAATAAATAAATCAAGAAATTGCACTGGAGAGATGGTTCAGTGGTTAAGAGCACTGGCTGCTCTTCCAGAGGTCCTGAGTTCAATTCCCAGCAACCACATGGTGGCTCACAACCATCTGTAATGGGGTCTGATGCTCTCTTCTGGTGTGTCTGAAGACAGCATCAGTGTACTCACACATATAAAATAAATAAATAAATCTTATGCCGGGCAGTGGTGGCGCACACCTTTAATCCCAGCACTTGGGAGGCAGAGGCAGATTTCTGAGTTCAAGGCCAGCCTGTTCTACAGAGTGAGTTCCAGGACAGCCAGAGCTATACAGAGAAACCTTGTCTCGAAAAAAAAAAGAAAAGAAAGAAAGAAAGAAAGAAAGAAAGAAAGAAAGAAAGAAAGAAAGAAAGGAAAGAAAGAAAGAAAGAAAGAAAGAAAGAAAGAAAGAAAGAAAGAAAGAGAAATTGCTCTACAAGGTGTGGGGGGAACTATGTTTAATTCCATCAGTGATTGAACTTAAAACCAAAAACCTCTCATTTTTTCCCTCCCCTTCCAATGTTTGGCCATGTGCGGTGCTCGATGGGGTGAGGTATAGTACAGTTGGCAGAGCCCTGAGAGAGCTTGCCTTGCATGCATAAACCCTTGGTTTTATAGCCCCAACATTCCATAAACAAGAGCAATTTTACTGTGCAATCCCAGCACCTGGAAAATGGAAGCGTGGATGATGTGTAACTCCTCTACTATATAGTACGTGTGAGGCCAGCCTGGGCTAAGAGAGACAGTGTGTCAAAAAGACAACAATAACCATCCAACCAAACAAAGCTTAGCTGCAGGAAAAACCATCTTTCTAGGCTTAAAGAAGCCTACTGATGGTACAGGTGTCCCACAGAGGCAAACAGCCTAATATTCCTCCATCTAAATCAATTTATTGAGGTCAGTGCTCTCCAAATCACTCCAAATACACGCTGGAGTCACAAATATCAGAAGCCATAACACCTCTCAGGCTCTAATGCCACTATGCCGCACCTGCCAGAGAACTACACTTCCCACAATCCAAATCGGCCGAACCCTGCCCTCGAAAGCGGGTAGAGGTGGGGCCTGTCGCCCCCGGTACGACAACGGGCGTCCAGAGGTGTCTGTCCTCTGTTCCATGGGGGATGGTTCTATAAGAAAGAGACCTGTGTCCCCTGGTGAGGGAGGCTGCCTGTGGTAGTAAGGTATGATGAAGGGCTCCGAAGTGTAACGCGGTAGAGGGTACAGTAGCCGAGGCCGGGACGGAGCGGGTCGAGCGTGCTGCGCAGAGGTGCAGCTTGAGCTTCCAGCCTCTGAGCCCCCATCGGGTCTGTGAAGGTGAGTAGGGGGTACAGCGGACAGACACTCTTCTGAGACACCCCTCACCATGGTGAACATAACCACCAGCATCCCAGACAACTCTAAAATCCACTGACCCCTATGTTGTGACTTCAGGGCTACCATGACTTCTAAAACGCACCTTACATCCAAACGACCAGTAATTCTCCACTATTCGTTGTCTTTCGTCAGTGTTCAGTATCTTTCACCACAGGCCCATGCGTTTTTAAATATAGCAAAAGCTCTCTCACCTTTTATCTCCTTTCCTTGTCCCAGCACTTAGCAAATAGTGGAGTGCATAGCTTAAAGTCATTTAAGCTATGCACTCTTGACTCTCTGTCCCATCTAGTTCACACTGATCTGTATGGTCCCTGTTTGAGAAGTAAGGTATGCAGCAAGTAGATACTTGGAAATGGTGACGACCATGCTACACTCTATGCAAAACAAAACAACAACAACACAAATTGCACTCAGGGAAATGTGTAATTTGCTGGGTATAGCTAAGCCAAGTGTGGGACTTGGACGCTCGCCTTTAGTTCCAGTTTTAGTTTAGTTGAGGAGACAGAGGCAGGCTGGCCTCTGTGAGTTCAAGTCCAGCCTGGTTTACATAGTGAGTTTCAGGACAGCCAGGGCTATGTAGAGAGACCTATCTCAAAAAACAAACAAACAAACAAACAAACAAAAAGCTGTTAAACCTTACTGTGCCCCAAACCTAACCATTTATCGTATCTTGTAATGTAATTTGGTTAGCCTTAAGAGTTGCTTAACCTTCTGGACCCATTTTCTTATAAAATGAGAGTTCTAATAACTTTCTAGATCTAAAATTCTGTGCATTGGACCTGGGCAGTGGTATGCACGCCTTTAATCCCAGAACACGGGAGGCAGGGGCAGGTGGCTCTCTCTTGTGTTCGAAGCCAGCCTGATCTCCAAAGTGAGTCCAGAGCAACCGGGGATATACACACAGAGAAACCCTGTCTTCGAGTAGTAGAATTCAGGTCATGTCACTCTATGTAATAGCCAAACAGCACTGTTCATTTTCTAGCTGCACCAGGAAAAGTCATAGATATTTATATATTTTTGTTTAGCAACATTGTTACAAAGAACCAACTTTCTTTTTTATATGCATACGGTGTTTTGCCTGTACTGTGGCTGTTCACCATATGTATCCAATGCCTGAGGAGGCCAGAAAGACCCTCTGGAACTGGAGTGAGGGACATATGTTAGCTGCCATGTGGGTGCTGGGAACCAAACCTCAGTCCACTCTCTTGCCCCCAAGAGTCATACCCTTACTTGGTTATTGATAGAAAGAAAATAGTACAAGTGTATCCAACTGCTTGTTGCTGTTTTGTAGATCACTGTTAAGAAGAATTCCAGACACAATGATAAACACAGCGTGCATGAAGACGGCTCGGATCCTGACACTACATCTAACAAATGCTTCCTTGATTCCTCCTGCGGTAAAAATACTTCCAGATCCTGGATCTAGGATGATATCAACCAATAAGTCCAAGAAGCTCAGAGAATATTACAGGCTGCTGAATCTAGAGGAAGGATGCTCTGTAGACGACGTCAGGGACTCTTTTCATAAGCTTGCCAAGCAGTACCATCCAGACAGTGGCTCTACTGATGCTGATTCTGCAACATTTATAAAGATTGAAGAGGCTTACAGGAATGTGCTGTCCCATGTGATAAAACAGATGCAAGCCAGACAGAGTAAAGCTGAAGACGCAGAAGAAGAAGAAAAATCCAAATATAATACACCTCAGCACCGACATTACTTAAGCTTCGAAGGTGTTGGCTTTGGGACTCCAAGTCAGCGAGAGAAACAGTACAGACAGTTTAGGGCGGACCGCGCGACGGAGCAGGTGATGGAGTATCAAAGGCAGAAGCTTCAGAGGGAGTACTTCACCAATAGCATAACTGTCAAAGACGTCAGGCAGAGCAAAGAACAGAAGATAACTCAAGCCATAGAGCGGCTGGTGGAGGACCTCATTCAGGAATCCATGGCAAAAGGAGACTTTGACAATCTCAGCGGGAAAGGGAAACCTCTGAAGAAGTTCTCTGGCTGCTCATATATTGATCCCATGACTCACAACCTAAACCGAATATTGATAGATAATGGGTACCAACCAGAGTGGATTCTGATGCAGAAGGAAATTAAGGATACCATCGAGCAACTCCGAGAAGCACTTTTAGTGTCTAGGAAGAAGCTTGGGAACCCTCTGTCACCAGGAGAACAGAAACAGTGGGCCCAAGTGTGTGAGCAGTTTCAAGAAAACATACGAAAGCTAAACAAGCGAATTAGTGATTTCAACTTGATTGTTCCCATTCTAACCAGGCAGAAAGTCCATTTTGATGCACAGAAAGAAATCATCAGAGTACAAGAAATGTACAGAGCCTTCATAGAAGCAAGAGAAGTCACAGAAGCAAAACAAACTGACATTAGCCAGGGAGAAGAGAAAGCACCCAGAGTCAAGACAGGCTTTCTAAACTGGCTGAATCTGTGGAAATTTATTAAAATATGACTGTTTTGACATTCACGATCATTTCCTGCTCTGGTCAATTTTGAGTTGCTTTGACATCAGACATAGAACCCGAAATTGATTGTCGTGTCCTAGGGACTTGAGAAGGATGTATGTGCCTTTGTAGTTTTCACAGAACTAATCCCACCCTGGTGATAGATGAGAGACTTGGGTGAGTACTGCTGTAATGATGTAGTAAGGCAGACCCTGTCCCTGAAGGAGCAGGCTCCCATGCCAGGCTTCAGGTGTCGGCCCCTAGGACTGAAGCACAAACCCGAGGCCCACACAGGGCCTTCCAGAAACCTCAGAGCTCTCTGAAACACTAGGAACTTATAGGTAGTCACTGCTTGATGTTTCTTTCTATTTTTTTTTTCTGGTTTTTCAAGACGAGGTTTCTCTGTGTAGCCCTGGCTGTCCTGGAACTCACTTTGTAGATCAGACTGGCCTTGAACTCAGAAATCCGCCTGCCTCTCCCTCCCAAGTGCTGGGATTAAAGGCATGTGCCACCACTGCCCAGCTGTTTGATGTTTCTAAGCATAAGTATTTGAGCAGCAATGAAACCAAAAAATGTGATTTTAAAACACAAAACTGAAGAATGAGATTGAACCAACTACAATCTCCTCCAAATGAAATCTTAAAATCTCAAAAGAACAAAGAAAGGAAGAAAGGAAGGAAGGAAGGAAGGAAGGAAGGAAGGAAGGAAGGAAGGAAG